CGGAAGCGATTACAGATATGTTGGGAAACCCACGGCGCGTTTAATCGGCAAATCATCGTGATTTTATCCCCTTCATGATAACGCTTGCCTAACATCCGTCTGTTTCCCAATTATATATATAAAAAAAAGGAATCCGTACTTCCCGGGATACCCAGGACGCAACACCACAGATGCAAGGCGATTTTGCGAGAAATTGTGGATATGTCGCTGATCAAGAACTACTGCTACATAAATTTGTGTTTCGGAGTCAGCTTCGCTTATGCACCGCTGACTATGCCTTCTCCTCTCTACTTCCTNGCTTATGCACCGCTGACTATGCCTTCTTCTCTCTATTTCCTTTGATGATGACCGATACGGAATAAACTAAGGCTGATGGAGCGTATATCACTATAAGCAGGATAACCGAGCTAGTGTCAAAAGTCTTATGGGCTGTTTTTATAGTAGTAATGAACGTACAGCCAAAATATCTGTTTTTCGCGGCTATGATCTTCATGGAATTCACGAGAATCGGTGAGTCGAGCGCGATCAAACGAATACTTCCGAATTTTGAAATGACAATTGCGAATCGCGATTTTTACAGGTTTTCTGCTGTCTGAGCATACATTGATGGGCGCATTTATTATGACAGAGATAATCGGAGTTGTACGACCGTGGCTGATAGTGGCTCCAGCAACCTCTGGTCATCATCGAGAACATTAGCATAGAGAAGTTCGCATCGGCTTACAGCATCAATGTCGTTATTAGCGGTTTGGTAACAATTGTATTTGGTAACAATTGTTTTTTTTTTATCGTAAGTGAGACATGCAAAAAGAAATATTGATAAAGTTTTGACATGCAATGTAATAGGAATTTCGAGACGCACGAGCATATATAATTACCTGGTTTGGTTTGTAGGATTTATCAAGTATTGGATACACAGGTATAAAATTTATATCTTTATTGGTAATGAACGGCGCTTCTATTGTACCATAGGCAGTACAATTCGTAGTCGTGGATTTTAAGAAACGGCGGACAATGACAGCGTACAATGACTAAGAAATCGTTATTCCCTGTTGATCGGTAAAAAGCAAGGAAAAGTATGAAAGGCTTTGTATTCGGAAACGATGGTGATTTGCGATGCACGAATTCCTCAACAAGCAAGTGAGGTGAAGACAACGATAGAAACGAATAGTATTTTTGTTCTTTATTCGTTGACAGATATGTGGCACCTTAAAACATACTAAATACATACTTGGAATATCTTCGAAACTTTGGGAATTAGAGAAAAATTTATTTGACAGAAATGACGTGGTGCAGAAACGATCGTTTCATGGAGGTAACGCTTTTTTCTAAGTAAACTAAATTTAGAGATCTGAAAATCACATTTCTTTTTTAAAACAGATTTATACAATTTTGTAAACATAAATCGATTTTTGTTCATTCTGCGATGAAAAGTACCTTGACGTAGAAACTAAACGAAGTATTTCTCCATATCGCGGAAGCTTAAAATACATGAAGTATATTGATATAGTAGATAGTCATTAAATACGAGGTCTGTTCAAAAAGTATCACGAATTCTATGTTTTTTCAAAAATTATTTATTTATTAATAAATATCTATTTTGCCTCCTCCAAAATAATCCCCATCAGATATTATACACTTGTGCCAACGTTTTTTCTAATCTTCGAAGCACTTCAAAAAATCACTTTTTGTGATCTTGTTCAGCTCCTCCTTCGATGCCGTTTTTATTTCCTCAATCGCAAAGTAGCGTCGTCCTTTCATGTGCCTCTTCAGTTTCGAGAACAAGAAAAAG